TTATCTCAAAAATAGAAAAAGTGGACAACTGTGGGTTTTCCCCTGTAGTCTTCATGTGTTTTCAGATGGTCTTAGGCGACCCCTTGGAAAGGGTCGTGAGACCAGGTTAAGAAACCGCTGTTTTAGAGCAACAGGCAAATTAATAAGTTGCATGTTCTTGAAAGAAAAGTTGTGTATAAAAATGACTGCGACGCGCTTGTGTGCACCGCTGTCACATAGAGACGAAATGAAAGGGGCGTTTGGTGACAGTGCACCATCTCCCACTCAGACAAATGAAAAGGGCATTTTTTGACAGTGCACCGCTCTCCCGCTGAGTCGAAATCAAAGGGGCATTTTTTGAAAGTGCACCGCTCTCACGTATAGCGGTAAAGAAAGGGTCATTTATTGACAGTGCACTGCTCTCACACTGAGATCAAATAAAAGGGGCATTTTTGACAGTGCACCGCTCTCTCACTGGAATGAAATAAAAGGGGCATTTGTTGACACTGCACCACCCTAACGCTGAGGCGAAATAAAAGGGGCATTTGTTGACAGTGCACCGCTCTCACACTGAGACGAAATGAAAGGGGCATTTTTTGACACTGCACCGCTCTCTCACTGGAATTAAATGAAAGGGGCATTTTTGACAGTGCACTGCTCTCACGTATAGGGGTAAAGAAAGGGGCATTTGTTGACAGTGCACCACTCTCTCACTGAGACGAATGAAACGGTATTTTTTGACAGAGCACCGCTCTCACACTGAGGCAAAATGAAAGGGGCATTTTTTGACAGTGCACCACTCTCACACTGAGATGAAATGAAAGAGGCATTTTTTGACAGTGCACCGCTCTCACACAGAGACGAAATGAAGGGGGCATTATTTGACAGTGCACCGCTCTCATACTGAGGCGAAATAAATGTGACATTTGTCTTCAATGAGCCGCGTGCAGCTCTGGGAAGGTGAACCGGGAGAAAATTGTAAACAATTTATAAGGGTCTTAACTTGGATGAGGTAAACAGGGAGATAACCCATAAAAACGGTGCATGTAAATACAGGGAGATAACAGACGTGGCGTGAAGGGGGGTAACCCGAGAAATCGTGGAGCTGTTATGATAATAAGTGAGAAGATTCTTGTAGGAGAGAAATTGTTGTAAAAGTGCCATGGAAATAATGCTTCATTGAAGGGACAGACTGCTTCTATTTGTCAATCTCTTTATGGGAAGCTCAGAGTATGTGACGCCAGTGTATGTGGCCACCATGGTATGGGATGACCAATGTGTGGGAAGACCAGTGTACGTGTGCATAAAAAGCAGATTGGTATGTGTGGAGTGTTTCCAGGCGTGTCTGTGAGAAATGTCCGACTGTGTGTGTCTATGTGGTAGTGTGTGTGTCTGTGTTTGTCTGTGTGTGTCTGTGTTATTGTGAGGGTTTGCTGTTGTATGTCTGTGTTGGTGTGTCTGGGCGTGTCTGTGTGATGAGGTGACCTGTGTGTCTCTTGTCGATATCTGCGCCCAGTGCTATCGTCCGTTCCCATGTGCATATGTGTAAAGATCGAAAATGAATGATTATAGAATCGTTTGTTTTAGAATTGACTTTTTTTTTTTTTTTTTACGCCCAACACACTTTCTGGTGGACTTAAAGATTGAAGCCAACAATTATTTGCCCCATGTTTTTCATTATTATGTTTACTTTTATTTTTTTTTTATTTTTTTTTTGTTTTTTTGTATTTATTGGGGGGGGGGGGGGGAGGT